CCAACCAGCTGCAGCTCCCGATATGGCAAAGGAAGTGGCAATTCTTCCGCTGCTGATTATTTCTAGCGTTGCAAGCAACGAGGTGGCCCACTACCGCCACTGCATGGCCAGGAGCCGAGAACTGGACCAAAATTCAAATCAGAACCTTGAGTTTCAGAAAATAAAGTCTAAATCAGAAATGGTCAGTTCCATCCTCTAAAACTTTCACCTGCAACTTTTAGATACATCCCTGCTCTAACTCACCTGGACCAATCAATGGCTCCGTACCTGGGTTACTGCTGGAGACAACACCAATGTGGACAGGAGAGAGAGAGTGTGTTGCTGACAGACTGGAGATGGGCGAGCAAGCTTTAGTGAAACAGAGAGAGAGAGAGAGCAGCAGCCTCGTCTGTCCGTCAGCTCCACAAATAGAAAGCTCTCTCTCCTGCAGTGTTGGTGTGGATTCCCCGGTTCTGAACCCAGAGACTCCAGAACTGGAACCAGCTGCAGCAGGAACCTGGACTATTGGTTGTATAGTAATATTAATAGTAATAGTAATCGTAATATTCTATCTGGACCTGGAGCCGGACTCTGCTGGGTCCAGAACCTGAATGATCTGAGTTGGTTCTGATCTCTGATCTGATCCCAGGTAAACAGATCTGATTGGTTCAACTGTTGATGTTTAATTATGTTATTTAGTTTAATTAAACAATAAACTCATTTAGCTTTGAAAATGTTTTGATGTATGATTTCAGCTTCAGAACTTTTTCCCATTGAGTTGAAGTTAAACCGAGCCACAGAACCAGAAACTCTGAGATTTAAACTCTGAAGAAATGTATGTAAAGTCAGCAGCAGGGAGTCACAGTAATTAGACTGATTAATCAGTGTTATTAGTGACTAATCAGTGTTATTAGTAACTAATCAGTGTTATTAGTGATTACTAACACCAATAAGATGATTAATCACTAATAAGGTATTCTTAGTGATTAATCATGACAACATGAGGATGAAGTGCAGAACTTTCTGGGAAGAATTATAAAGACAAAATAATAAATATAGAAAGTTAAACTGGAATATCGACTTAATGCTATAAACTGGATAGTTACAACATGGAAGGTAATTTAGCCATTTAAATATTTCTGTAGAAATTAGTTAAAGTTTCTAGTAAACCCATCATTAACACCAAACACCAGCATAATGGGTTTTTAAAAAATCTTTTTCCTCCACAGAAACAAGCTATGAGCGTCCTGGAGGGAGGAAGAGGAGCAAGGAAGGACCTTGGTGCACATGGCCTCGCTGAGGCTGACCTGCTGCCTCGTCACAGCTCCAGCTCACAGATCCTTCCCTGTTCGCTAGTTCCTGCAGACAAGAGGTCGGAGGTCACCTGGACAGGTGAGAGGGAAGTGGAGTACCTGGACATCTTCAGCAGGGATGATGAGGAGGAGGATGAAGGCAGCGAATGGTCTGAGGAGGATCTGTCTCTGCACTTCTCTCCTTCCGTTATTCTCCAATCGGACGATGAAGAGTCGGAGCCTGAGAGTGGCTTAGATTGTGCGTGCGTAACCATGGAAACACAGGTGAGTTTTTCTGACATTGTCACTGATTTACCTTCCCGAGAACAGAACATAAATACATTCTTTCATCAGATTTGATCCCTGAAGTGATTCAGGTTCCCTCTGCTGTTCTCATTAAAATCCGTCCAGAGGACGTTTTACAGAATCATGTGGTTTTATGGAAATAATGCCTGAATATTTACACACGTCTTAGTGCAGAGCTGCAGATCTCAGGTAGAATGCACATTGTTGCCATTTCCCTCTTTATGGCCACACTGATTCCAAACGGGTTAAAAGACAAAACATTCAAACATTTAGATATTTATCCATCATCCATTTCCAGTAGTCACTGGGCCAAAGGCAGGGACAACTGGACATGTACCCGTCCATCACAAGGTTTATTTTACATTCCCATAATTTGTTCAAGTTCCTGACTTTCCTGTTCACCCTGTCATTTTGTGGTCACTGTCCCTTTAAGAGGCCGGCGGGTACAGTTACTCCAAAGTCATGCACTCACAGCTGTAATTGCTTTGGTTTTCGCCTGTCATGGTCAAACATTAAATCATATTTGGTTGAATTAGAACACATTGACCATCTGTCAACATTTTCTTTATGTCGTGGTTTAAACTAGTTTGTCAGCAGACGTTCTGTTCCTCTAGATGTTTCTCTGCTGCGTCTCCTGTCTGTCCAAATGAACTCCGAGGTTTTTATATTCCTCCACTTCTTCTCAGTGATGGAAACAGAATGTGACCTTTGACCCTGTTTTTCAGAGATGATTCTGAAATCATCTCTTTTGTTTTGTTTCCATCCGAGATTATTTGATTGTTCCCTCCATGCCACCAAGCGTCCAGCTGCTCTCAGTCCTCTGGTCCATTTCTGAACCAGAGACTACCGGAAGTCTGAAGAGCAGAGAGAGAAAGGAATGGTGAGAGTCCAGAACCCTGAGGAACTCCTGCTGCCTCTTGGGTCAACCCTCAGTCCTTCAGTCTTTTAGCAAGTCAGCCATAGATGTAGATCAGATAGATTAGATTAGATTTATTGTATTTGTTTATAGATCCAGGTAAGTCTGCTGGAGTTCCTGCAGAGCAGATCAGATGAATCTGATCCTTAGAGCCGCTGCTTTGAAGAAGAAAAATTACAATACGGCCTTTGTAGAAACTGGATCCTGCACCATGACAATTGTTTTCCTGTCTGCTTACCTGAACAGGTGATGAAGAAGGACGACCCTCCTGAGAGAGGAGGAATTACCGAAAGACATTCCCGTCCATTTTCATTTCTACGCCAGAACAGCATGCCTGCATCGCTGCACACGCATCCCACAGCCAGCGGCGAGGCTGCCAGCTACAGGGTCTACAAAGGCCGCATCGCAGGGGCCAATAGCGGTAAAAGCTTCTCTGTCTATAGACTGAAGGAGTTCAGATACTTAGAAAATAATTTCAATGTAATCCTAAAACACAGCAGCAGTTCATCCAAGGTCATTACTGAAACATAAGAGAGATACAACATTGAGGGAGGGAGGGAGGGACGGACGGACGGACGGACGGACAGACATCAGGTTTCCATGCTGAGTTCTGAAGCTGATCAGCCATTTGTCCTCAAAGCCTTTTGCTGCTCATTATTTCATGTAAACTAGATTGAACTGACTTCCTTCTTGCTTCCCTGTTCAGACGTGACCTGATCTGGTGCCAGACTGAGTTCTGATCCAGTTTTATGATCTTTCAGGTCTCCCGCTGGAAGGAAGCCGGCGATGCCTTCAGAAATCTTATTCTCTGGATGAAAGTAAAACAAAGATGGCGTCAAGCCTCTTAATGAACATCTTGTCCAAGAAGATGCAGGTGGAGCAGAGCAGCACAACTAACAGCCTGAAGAAGCTGGAGGCAGCACCTGCCCCACCTGCTCTACCTGCCCCCCCTGCAGGGCAGCAGGGTGAACAGCAGGGGAAGACAGGTGCATCCAAAGCTCCACTGCACCTGGTCAGAGATGTGAAGAGTTTCAACAGCCTCAACAACAGCAAAGCTGTTAGCATGAACTCAACGAGCTGCAACGCTATTGGCCAGGAGGAGAGCGTCTCACGTCACCCTGCTGCAGAGGGTAAACATCATGCTGCCATGGTTACGGCATCTCTCAGCAAATCACAGAACAGGCAACAGGACGACGCTGACAGCCGTCCAGCAGCAAATGAGAAACAAAACAGTCATCCAATGGACAAGTCTGAAGACACGCCCCCTGTCCAACCCGTCCACCATGTCCAATCCATTCGCCACATCCAACCCGTCTGTCATGTCCAACCCGTCCACCATGTCCAACCTGTCCGCCATGTCCCTTCAGAGCTGAACCAATCAGAGACAGCTGCAGTCTCCTTTGCCCCCTTGCAGCGCTCACCACCCGATCTCCAGAAACAGAAGTCCTCTGAGTCTGCCCCAGAGCCCCACTTCCGTCCATGCTCCACCCAGAGCCAGCACTCCACCCGATGTGAAGCTTCTCCCTTTGCTCCCATCCAGCTCCTCCATCCCTGTTTTTACAGGCTGCAACCCAACCTGAGAAGCGTCCCCTTTATTCACCCTCCTCTGACCTGCATGCCATCCCACCTCAATCCCCCAGCTCCCCCCCACCTGTTGGTGAACCCTGACAAAAGTCCAATCAAAGTCAGGGATAACTTTTCAAATCGGACTGAAACCAGCAGAGATCCGGACCACAGGAGCTTTGGGAGATGTGAACAGGTTCAACCGCCACAGCAGCCCTTACCTGTGAGTTCACAGACTTTCACACTTGGCCAGGTATGCAAGGACCTGGTTTCCACTGCAGCACCGGGAGTCTTGTTTAGTGTGCCTGCTTCCTATCACCTTGTGTTAGACGCCAGCAGTCAACGTGGCTTCTACATGGACGCCAGTCCAGCAGCTCAGAGAAAGCTGCTGCTGGACCCGGAAACTGGACACTTTGTCCAGGTGTTCCTACCTGCAGGCTCCGCCCCCCCCATGTTGGAGGGCAACCCAACAGTCCTGCCAGTCATTCAGTTTCCAGTGATGGGCGTGCCCGTGCTGTACAGTGGCCCCTACGTACCTGTTACCATGACAACACCTCATGATGATGTCGCCATGATCCTTCATCACACCTGAAGCTCCAGCTGCTCCTCTAGATTTTATTTTTCTAATTAATGTTTAATGTCAGTGACAAGAACAAACTGGAAACCAAAGGACTTTAAATAGGCCGTGTCTGCTGCAGCAGCTTCCTTCTCAGGAGGTCAAAGTTCATCACAGGTTCTGTTGACAAACCATAATGTGATCAGAGGAGGACTTCAGGGTTAGGGTTAACCCTTTGCTTCTGAGCTTTACTGACTCCTTCATTTCTATCAAATGTCAATAAAACTTCAACATGAAAAGCAGTGGAGTTCATAAAATAAGGCTGAAACTTCATTTAATGTGAAATCTGTGCTGAAATCAAAAATGTCAGATTTTCATTCTTTCAATGTCAATCTTTGAAGTTGCAGGTTTGAATAAATTAACCATTGTGATCAAATTTGTGCTCAAGATTCTTACGTTTGAAATTTGATAATCATCTTGTTTGAGATGGCCACATTCTTAAGTTAACATGGTAGTGGAACTGGACTCGTTGTTTCTTGGATATGTGGACAGTCTGGTTCCACCGATCAGAACCGATCAGAACTGAAGAGCCTCTTATGGTGAAAGTTGAATCTCTGTGAATCAAGGGTTGTGGTTCCTGACCTTTAGGAAGCCCAAAGGTCAGAGTTCAGTCGTGATTCCAGAAAGTAGACCTGACCTCTGAAACCGGGTTCCACTAAAGCATCAGAACTCTATGGAACCGTCAACATGGCCGGACCAAACAGAACCGGGCTCATGTAGATCCTGATGAGAACTTGTTGATTCTTGAGTAACTTGGCTGCTTTTGACCAGTAGGGGGCGCCATTTGTAAAGTTAAATTAGAGCATCACCAGAAACACAGTTCAATACATTTTATTGAAAACCTAACAATCTTCTGACCCAAACATTTAGTTCCGGTTCTGACAATAAAGGTGAGGAGGGGTTGGAGCTACAGCAGAAAGGAAACAGGAAGCTGTCATGAGTCCTGCTCCAGGAACCATAATTTAATCAATAATATTGACAGATGAACCTTCTGCTCAATTATCCGGAGGAACCTGCATTTTTAATCTGATTAAGTTCAACCTCACTGGATTAGCCTGATGACATCACTGTCACACCTTGGTGCTTGGAAGGGAGGCATCTGGTAGCTCCTCCCCCTGTCCCGCCATCTCCTCCCCTTCCGGGGGCAGATCTTCCTCACGCACCCTGAAACCTGTGAAGGTGGGGCAGATGGGGAACCGGCGGAGCCAGCGGGTCCGTCTGACCACGCCCATCCCCACAGGGAAGTCATAGGAGGTGGAGCCTGGAGAGGGGGCGTGGCCTGATGTGGGGGCGGTGCTTGAGGAGCTCCACTGCACAAGTCCTCGCTCCTCCCTCGTTCCTGAACACAGAAGAAGAAAACAGGTGTGTGATATCACTCCAGCTCCATCTGTCCACAATATTTAGGTTTTGTGGGTTCCATTCTTGTAATATTTTTGGATTGGTTTTGTTAAGAATTAAATTTAATCAAAGGCACTTAATGTTTTTATGTATTTGTAGAGGCTTGATATAAAAACTGAAATTCTGTGAAACATTCTGTAGAAAGTTCTCCTTGAAGACTAGAGCTGAAAATGCTCCTGATCAGCTGCTGCTATTGGCAACAGATGGTTGGGTTGTTGTTCACCTGGTATTGTGTTGTCGAGACAAAAAGCCAGAAAACCTCCAACGAACATCTCAGTGGACAGAAGAACTGTCAGAATCTGATCCAGTTCTACAACACCTGAACCAGAAGAGAGAGAATTGTTAAAGTCAGATGAAAACCAACCAGCAGCTCCAGATGAAAACCAGTACAGCCAACCAAAAGTGTCTCTAATGTTCAGTTAGGAGGACTCCAGATTTTATTCACACTGAAACTGAATCAGTTTCCAAATCAGAACTGGCTTGAGGTCCAGTTCTGGTCTGTAGAACGACTGATTGGTCAGGAAGTCCAGCTGAACCCGCCTGGCCAGCCACAAGATGCAGCTGCCATGGTAACGAAAACAAGTAGGACAGGTGACTGGAGGTCATGGATGCAGATGCAGCTGCCAGCAGTGTGTAACTCTGGTGTCATTTCATTATCCACCAGCAGGGGGAGTCAGCTCAGCAGTTATCTTTTAAATTGAGGGACTCAAAGCAGCAAATCAAGGAAAATATTAAAACAATAACAAAAAATCTCTAATGAACACCAACATTCTCAGGTAAACACACTCACCTGTCTTGATGACTTTCGGATGTGCGTCCAAGTATGCTGGCAGCGTGAGGCCGAAAAACATTGAGAACCCGAGAACAAAAAGATTTCTGGAAGAGTTCAAATCAACCAGCTGCAGGTTTGATAGACCAACAGCTGTGATCATACCTGCGGATAAAGAAAAAAAAAAAAAAAAAAGGATTAATATGACCTCATCAACTCACCTGAGCTGAAAGAACCTGTGGCTCACCAAACAATGTGCAGAACATTCCTCCCAGGATGGGATCCGGCAGAGAGGCAAACAGAGCCGTGAACTTCCCAACCGTTCCCAGGATGAACATGATCCCGGCTCCAAATTGCACCACCCGTCTGCTGCCCACCTGCACACATTTTAAATTATTTAAAATGTTTTTCTTTGATTCCAGCCACTATTTTAGATATGATGAACCTCTCCTTAGTACATGGACCACCAGTTTTTAAGCTAGCTGTAATTTAACTTTTACTTAGAAATCTTCTCTCAGTTAAGATGGCTTAATTACAGACCTATATCTAATCTTCCTTTCTAATCTATAATTCTTGAGAAAATAGTTGTTAATCCAGTATGTGAGCATTTAAATAGTAACGACCTGTTTCAAGAAGTCAGAAGATGTCTGTGGATCCAGAGTTATTAAGACATAAACTCACCTGATCTCCAGTAATAAAGAACCTCAGTGTTATTTTTGACCAAGACTAGAAGGTTCATCTTTACATTTCTATTAAGAACAAGCCAGATAACTGTTTAAGCACAATACAAAATTGTTTCCCCTTTTCATCAGCAACACCCTGAGAGATTTCCACTGGCCTTAAATAACCGCATAGCTGCCTTTGTTGGAATCAGCACATGAAACTAAGACACTCCCCCTAGTGGTGACCAGAAACTACAAGACACTCTGCTCCCATGGTGACATGACGTCAGTTGACACTAAATAAACAAAATGCATTTAAATAGAGCAGAACATTAAAGCCTATGATCAATAACCCAGAACAAGTAATAAATGGACCAGTAGGCCCAGGATGACTACATCAAGCAACAGAACACCCAGTACCAGTAAATCCTGCACCAGTTAATCTGAAACCAGTAAAACTTGGAGTAATCTGATCGGATAAAGAAGGGCCTCATTTATCCTGGTGAAGATTTTCACCTTGGTGATTCCAAGGACTCCGATGTTGGGACTGGAGGAGGTCGATCCATTTCCTGTCCCTAACAGACCAGCAATGATGCAGCAGATTCCCTCAGTGAAGATCCCCCTGAAACAAGAAATGAGGCAAATCAACAACCTGAACAGCAAAGGGGCGGAGTCAGCCACCGACTTCCAGACTCACCTGTTGATAGCATGAACTGGTGGCGGCGTGGCACCTGACAGACGGGCGCAGGCGTAATAATCTCCAATGGACTCCACAATCCCCGCCATGGTGGCACTCAGCATCCCCAACACGCCAGCAACAGTCACCACTGGCAACCCCCACTGACCTATGGGACATCACCATCATCATCATCATCAGCCCTGTATCTTCATTACATCAAGGGCGTTTCCTTGGCGAATCCCTTACATGGGTAGGGCATCCTGAACCAGGGAGCTGACGCCATGATGTCCCCACGAGCGTCGGTCCGTCCTTTGTGTCCATAGCGATCCGGGTCGTTAGGGAGCAGGTCAGTCAAAGTCAGAATGTAACAAACGAGCCAGACCAGCATTATGGCAAGGATGATCTGAGATGAAATTCAGAGGATAATATCACTACATCACGTCATCGCTGACTTCACTGCCTCTGTGTGGTCTCATTTACAGGAAACATCTTGAAGATCTGGACTCTGGTGGACGTCAGTCCTTTTCTTCTGCTGTAAACAGGAACAGGAATTGATGTTGTCCTCAGGTACTGAGCAAACAGCACAATTAGTAACATACACCTGTAGAGAGAAACAGACATGTCTGTTAAGGGTTACATGTTTCAAACTGAGAAGTCGAGAGATGCTGATAGGTGGACAGGTGTCTTACAAAGCAGACAGGCCCCAGTGGGCCCCAGCTCTGTCTCCAGCAGTGGTGAATACGGACAGACCGATCAGGGAGACGGTTGGTGTGATGGTGAGTGGACCAATATACTCCAATAGCAGACCGGGTAATCCAGAGAAACCAATCACAACTTCCACCAGACTCGACATGATGATGGCTCCCTGAATCTGTAAACAAGCAAACGACAAAACAAAACGTCTCCTATAGAAAACAGAAACATCACAGAATCTTTCAGACCCTGAAGATTGAATTGCCTCTGACCCAGCTGAAGAGATGCAGGCTGGCCAGGAGGGCATTGTGGGGGTTCAGAGGTGACATACTACTCCACCAAGACTCTGTGCCATAAAATACTAAATGGATCAGAACCACCTTAACAATGCAGTTTTAAACTAAACTGAAGTCTGACAAGATTGAGTAATGTCTTCTATTATCAGACATGCAGCAGAACCTGGCGACTTCTGACTCTGATCAATAGAAGAGAACCAGGCTCCAGTAGAGAGGCAGAGGTCCAGTTCTGGTCCAGTCCAAAGTTTGTCGTGACCTTGTCTGAACCAGGTTCAGGCCCTTAGAGTTTAGTCTTCTTTAAGGACTTGTTGAAGTTGTCTGAAGAGACCAGAGTTTTGATGGGTTTTGTTTTGGTTCTTACGGTTCCTGATGCAGAGATTCTACCAAGGTATGAGTCAAAAGTGAACTTGGCCTCAGTGTGAACCCTTAAAACGGGAATTTCATTAATCCTGACCCACATCTAGATGCCTGACCACCTGGGTCATCATCATACCTCTCTGATCCGAGGGTGCCAGACATGGGAGGTGTTGAGGGGAAGACTCCAGTTCCCATAAATCACATCTGAAAATAAAACCCAGAAATGTCAGGCTCACCATGTTTATTTACAGAAACAAAGCATCAGTGCTCAGAAATGAAGCATCACCTTCACTGGGACACGCCCAACGGTCCAGGCCAAGGATGGCCTGAGCAGGAATCAGGAAGGCAAAAGCACTAGCCTGAAACAAAGGAAGCCTGGAAGCACAGACTCACTTTAGTCTTAAGCTTGTCATATTCTCCTGAAGCTTCAGCAAAGACCTACCTGACTCCAATGGTGGTCTGGATCAGTGTGGTGATTCCAACGGTGGTAAAAATGGTTCCGATCAGCTGACTCACAGTGTT